CAGTTTGTGGACTTCCTGATAGTAAAGAATTACAATAGTCCAGCCTTCTAATGATGTCTAATTATCTTTTAATAAGTGCAAAAAAAAAACCCCACCCATCCCATTACCAGAACTTCTTTAGCTGCTCAAATCAAGGGTACACAATTTTTTAGGTCATTTTTTGCAGTGTATAACTAAACTTAAAATCTTTAATTGAAAAAAAAAAACTTAATGAGAAGCCATTCCTAATGCAGATAACACATCACAGCCCTGCTCTAGTAGAAAACAGGAGGCAGCGCTGATGTTCCAAACACTGGACGTTCCTCCAAACCTGAAGAAGGCTGGTCTGATAGATTAACGTTTTAAAGGTTGATAACCTCAGAGGAGCTGCAGGGATTTCCGTCTACTTCTGCTCATCTAACAGAATCATCACACCTATGGACTGTACGGTAAAAAAAAAACATATGAAAAATAAAACATACCGTCCTGATAGATGTAAAGTCTTTGAAAGCATGAGGAGAAAATGTTTGATGATTTGATGAACCCAATGTTAACTGTTCAGCACGATTCCTCCAGGTCTGTTGGACACAGTGAAGCATGGTGGTGGAAGTATCATGCTATGGGACTGTGTGCCAACTGGAAATGTTGACTTAGTTCAGGTGGTTGTGGGAGATTATTCGGAGCCAACTGACTGAGAATCTGATCTGGGGAAGATTGATGCACTGCAAAAACGGATCTGCCCTTAATTTGTGTAGAATGTAGATATATAAGATCTATCGATGGAATTAGTATCTTTGCCCTTATAATTATCTATAATACATTTAAAATCAGATAAAGTTTTTTCTTATTTATTTTTTTTCTGTTGTCAAATTGTCCCACTTTCCTGCTCAAATCAAGGGGAAATAAAGAAAAACTGACTCGGTGGTGTTTCATCAATAACCCAAGTAATTTTTACAGATAATTGCAGAAATATTTGCAAAGTCTGGTTGCTAGGATACAATCTTAAAAGTGCCTCTACCAGATATTTCCTGCAAACTCACACATTTTAGTTTATTCCCAACATGCGTTCCAATGAGGCTGAAATGTTGAAAGTGAAATAAAAACCTTGTTTTCCGTCACTAAATCCTGGTTAATCCAGAGTGTTTATTTCCAGCGTGTTCTAAATATTCCAGCTCACCAGCAGCAGGGTTTACAAAGAACCTCTTTATTGGATTCCAGTATGTACATGATACAACTTTTCATTCCTAAACCTGAATGCAACCAGAAAATAACCACAAACGTCTCCAGAAAATCAGCTGGATGGTTTTTCCTCAGAAATGAAAAAAATTGAGCCGCTCCTGTGATCTCTGCAGAGTCAAACAGCTGATCCCGGTTTTTAAAGAAAAATGATTCCCATTTACTGCTAACTGTAAATACATCATGTACACTGTAACTCAAAGGCACAACGCCACTCCCATTTACTTTAAGAAGTAAACAATTGATGTTCAAACATAAAAAAATATAAAAAAAAATCTGACATATCTCTTAGGAATGTGATAATGTGACACAAAATAAATACTGTAAAACATTAAAGCCGATTCCAAATAAAAAGCAGCTCCATCAGAGGTTGGAGAGGAGTGAAGTGGAAATAAACTTTGTACATCATTACGGGGATAAAAGACCCAACATTCTGTAGCGCGTTATACTAAATTATAAATACATCCGTTTGCATAGAGTGCACAATGCAGTGGCAGCAAAACAGCGCTTAAAAATAAATTAATAAACTAAAAACTACCGGAATAAAAGAGTCACTTTAGTCCAGCAGACCTGATCGCTGCTCACAAAACAATCAATGATGCAAATGATAGTTTTATATTTATATATTAAAAAAAGAAGGTTGGTATTTGAAGGACATATATGAAGTAAGGATGAAACTTTCAACATTGATAACTTGTCAGTTTTCCAAACGTTTCCAGAAACGCAGCCGGATGATTCCGACTGGAGGTCAGCTTCGTACAGGAGGGTCAAATGGCTTCGCTCCAGTTTTATAACAAAGCCTAAAAGTCAGTCTGATAGAAATTCTCCTTTAAACGCCAAAATTCTGCAAAAATTAGCCTGGATCAGTGTCGGTGACAGGAAGGGAGATTAGATTGGAGTGATGGAGGAGAAAAATAAAAGAACAATTATTTTAAAAAAGGCTTTTGGACGGTTTTTACATTCAAAACAAAAGCAGGTGAGCAGCGGCTCCTGCAGACGGGAAATGGTCCAGTTACGCAGCCGGCGTTCAGTCCATGACTGCGTGGGAAGGTTCTGTCTTCATACGCATCATTCTACATCCAGGCCGATCCACCTGCTCATAGAAAACAGACCTAAAAAAAAACGCTGATTCTAAACAAAACAAAACAAAACAAAGGGACTCTGTCCACAGTAGGAAAAAACAGCGCAGATCTGGAGATAAAAGAGCACCAGTAAAATCGTATAATGCCAGCTGAGCTCGACCCAGACCCCTCCCCACCCCGCCCAAGCCCAGTAGATGGAACCCCAGAGGTCAGGCTGAGCAGACTTTGGAAGAAGGCGCTGCTGGAAGAGCTGTTGATCAGCATCAACATCAAAGTCTTAGAAACTAACAAATTATTTTAAAAAAACAAAGAGGAGAGAAGTTCATTGGTGAGCCGAGCGTCATAGGTTCATCCTCAGGTGCTCAGGCCGCCTGGAGTTCATGGGGTACGCCTGCTTCTTGTAAGGCCCCGCCTGGAGCCCTGAGGGATGCCTGATAGGAAGAGGAGCCGACGTCTCCGTGGTGAGGCCGCTACTTGTGTCCATCTGCTCCATGGTGGAGACATCCATGGGCTGGTCTATAGAGCTGCTGGGGGACAGCAGCGGCGGCGTGTCCGTCAGCGGGGGTCCGCGGGGCCAGCAGTCTCCTCCCGCAAACTTCACTGGACTGTGGAATAACAGGGCAGACGAGAAGCAATAAATATTCAGAGATGAAATGAGAAAATGTCCCTCAGTTCTACTAAAGCATTTCAGCTGTGGAAAAGAAAGATAAACAGGAATCGACTGGAGGATTTTAGTTTTTCTTTATCCCTGAATCTCTGAGATTCGCTGATGATCCAAATCTGCTACCAGGTGATAAAGATCCCTTCAGAGGGAAAGTTGTTCCTGTGTGCAGAATGAAGGAAGCTGTTTTCAGGATAGGAGGGGGGAAAGGATCTCACTACAGCTCATCCAAAGCTGCAGACAGCTCAACAGGTTCACACCTGCTAACTACTATCTGCCGTCACAGACGGGAAAAAAACACAAAAAACAAACTAAAACTGGTCTGAGACTGAGCTGAGAAACAGCTGTTCTTGCTTTACGGCTACAGAACCACGCAGAACTCTGACAAACAAAATCACACTGATTAATGCAAAAATTAAAAAATAAAAATCATTCAGACGGCTAAAGGCTGGTTTATACTCAGAAACCAGGACGTCTGCGCGTGTTGCAGTTAACAAAGATATGCCCCGCCCCCTCCACAGACACTCTGCTGCACCTCTCCAAAATGGTAGGTGATGGCAGACAGTGCTGCAGATAAAGAAAAACAAGAACGTATCGGTTGATATCTGGTCCAGATCATCCATTATAGTGAAACTAAAAAGAATCAGGGCAGCTCATTTTCTGTTAAATGACGCTTTTATTGAGGCGCTGCATTGTTTTAGTTTTGTCTGAAGCCTCTGTCACACCTACATGATTTATTCCAGAGTATCCCTGACGTAGGGAAAATCTAGCAAATTGTGGCATACACTGGATAAGTTATGGGTACGTTTTGTTTAAGTTATGAGCACGCTGAAGCTCGCTGAAACACGCTGGCACATGTCGACATACGACAAGTACGTCGGGACATTTCGTCACATATGCCAGCGTATGCCATATGTGAGCCACAAGTTACAGCTAAGTTTTCTGATCGTTGACATACGTTAAAGGTGCTGTAGGAGATCTTGGAAAACGGTTCCGGCAAGCTATATTTTGTACATAAAAACCACGCCTCTCCCTTCAGACCATCCGTAGAAAGCATGCCTTCAAAACACATGAACGCGCTTGCTGTCTGCAGAGCGTCTCGAGCAGCACTGATGATGCAGAGCGCTATTATCACTCCCCTGAAACAGTTTATTAACGCCTAAATTAACTTAAAATGCTGAAATCTGCCAGCAAAACATGTTCACTTTTATTATCCTGGTGCCTGCAGTTTGGATTACGTACATGAAAAACGCCTTCCAGCGCCTCAAATATAGCTGCCATTGTTCCCGGCAAAGAGAGGATAGGGAAGCTCCGCCCAACGCGCATCAGACCTACTTTACCACCGCGCAGCCAGAGTAGCAAAGATGCTTCAGCCGCGCATCAGAACTAAACTTGTACAAGCATCAGAAATGAAGCAGCAAGCATGTTTTTGCAGCTGCTTTAGGTGTGAACGTAGCATAACAGTGGCTAGCTTCCAGCCATGGCGTCCTGCACGAGCATTGGGGGGTCGATTCGATCATGTGTCAGTGTACGCGCACAGGGGGGAGGGGCAAGCAGGCGACCATGACTGACGTGTCAGGAACCAATCGTGTATAACGGATTGTGTTTTGTGATTGGTTGAGGTTATTAATTGATTTCTCACTATAGCAGGGATCATTTATTTTAGTTTCACTTCCAGACCTTCTATTTCACTGCTCGCTAAGCGGCTGAGGGGAGATCTTCAAGCTACATGGTAAAAAATGCGTCACAAAAGATCTCCTACTGCACCTTTAAGAGCAGGTTACTCAAAATTTGTGGCGTCCAACTTATCCAAAACCTGTGAGTAACTCTCCTCCAGACTTCATCCCCATCATAGGGTGAGCGTAAAGGTGAGCGTGATGGATCCGCCCTGCGTTCACACCCGCCACCAACAAACTTCCTAGCAGACATGACGCTGAACCCGCTGCGACGGCAAACCTTCTTCCTATTTATTCTCCCCTCAGAGCTTTAACTGATGCTGCATAATGCGTAACGTCCATAAAATGATGGGCATTACGCTGCCGTGCGTTATGCATAAGTTAGGCTGTCGGAGGACATACTTTCTGGACTCATGAATACTCAGAGATGCCCAAAATAGAAAAAAGTACATAGAAAGCTCAGCGTATGTCAGAGTTTTAGGAGATTCTTGGATGTCGGGCAACACTGGCTAAATCAGCAAGGTGTGACAGGGCCCTAACATTTTTGATTTTTTTGATGGTGTAAAAGAACCAAGTGTTGTTAGAATCACAAAGAGAACAAACCTCAAAGTAACCAAACTGAGGCTCTGCATCTAACTGTAGGATAAGGGTTCATAATTCAGACACAAAGGGGCGAAGAAGAAACAGCTCATTTCACAGAAGCAGAGGGACAAATATTATTTTATTTGATCAAGGCTGTTTTCACACGTTTAGTGTTTTTATTTCAATCTGAGAGAAAATCAAACTGGAAGGCTTGAAAAACATTTTTAATGCACCAGAAAAAAATCTACATAAGTCATTTTTCCTTAAAACAAGTGCATTTGTTCTTGGATCAAGGAGGTAAAAGACATATTTTGCAAATGGAACAAGATAATTTACACTCAAAATAAGAAAACACAACTGAATTGTCTTATTTCAAGTGCATGTTATCTTATATTAAGAGTAAAAATACTCATCCCTTTGGCAAACTATCTAATTTACCTACTCAAATTAAGGGCAAATACACTTAATTTAAGACATTTTTTACTTATATCTAGATCGTTTTTCCTGTGTGGATGCAGTTCACTGCAAAAAATTGAAGTACCGGTAAGTTTTATCTTTTTTAAATAAGCATTGTTTCTTGAATTAAGCAGTTAAGTGATACACTTTGCCAACGGAATAAGGCAATTTACATTTAAAATAAGAAACAAAAAACTCCAGCCTCTTAATTCAAGTACATACTATCTAACTAGCTTATTTCATAGTTCTTTTAAGAGTAAAAATGCTCATCCCATTGGCATATTCTCTTATTTACCTGCTCAGATTAAGGGTAAATACACTCAATTTAAGACATTTTTCACTCATTTTTAGATTGTTTTTAAAGCTTTGTACAGAAATCTGAATCGGCTAAAAAGAAAACAACAAACTAGTGATGGGAAATCAGCAGACAGACTGCTATATTAAATCCTGACAGCAGCATGTAGGCTGAGCAAACCACATTTACAAGGTCAGCGAGTGAGTCATCAGTGAGGGGGCAGACTTGTTTTGGAAAACTTTTCCAATGATCGAGGCGATTCAACAAAATTCAAGACAAAAACAGGAGGCTTACCTCACAGGTGTCCTTGGGCTTCCAGGGAACTTCCGCGGAGAGCGGACTTTGGGCTCGAAGGAGAATTTCTCCTTCAGGTTTTCGAGCACAGATGGGGCTACATATGTGAAACCCTGGGGGCAAAGGAGGGGGACAAAAAAAACACAGAGACGTCTGAGTTCCACCTCTTCAAAGACCAGATTTATATAAAAAAACAAAAACAAGCCACAGCTGATGATGAGCAATGAAAACTTGGAGTGAACCATAACATGCAATTTGGTGGAAGAGGGAGAGAAGCTTCCAGGAAGAGCGGGGGTTTGGTCAGCAGATGGGAGACATTAACCGCTTCTCGTAACAACAGAGAGCTGATCTGCTTGGTTTGTAGAAAAACTCTTCAGCAACATTTAAGATTTATGACTTTTTTAATTGTTATCCCAAGATAAAAAAAGTCAAAAACAACAAAGTTATTCATAAATATTTAAAGTTAAATCATTCACAAACGTTTATGAAAGTGTAAACAGAAAGAAGCAGGAAGGATGCTGTTTTTTTCCCCCTGCAAACCAAAACTATCACATCTCTTAAAAAAAAAAAAAAAAAAAAAAAAAAAAGTTTAGCAACGTAATTTTGAAATTCTTTGTATTTTAAGAGTAGATATGAATTTAAATTTGGGCTGTTGAAGACTTAAGGTTTCATTTGTCCTCAGCTTGTTTTCATAACATGCCAGGTTATTCTGCAGGTTTTAAAAGCTGCTTTTCTTTTTTTCTGTCCTGATCTGCTCAAATATTTCTATATCAGGTTAGTTCTTGTCAGTAGTGTCAAAAATACACACATTTGTTACTTAAGTAGAAGTATAGATACTGCAGTTTAAAAACACTCTGGTAAAAGTTTAAGTATCAACTTGATCTCTTTACTCAAGTAAAAGTGAAAAAGTATGTGCTTCAAAAACTACTTAAAGTATAAAAGTATAAAGTAACCTTTAAAAAAAACAGCCAGATGTCACTATATGAACTGAAAGCTCATTTTCTTGACTATTTGTAAAAAATTCTTTGAGATAGGGCCAAGGATGATGGAGGTCTTGTTGGTCTCCATCTCCTGATTCGCTCTCGCCTGTGTCCGACCTTTCAGACATTTCAACATTTATTCCTGAATCCATTATTGCAGCATGGCATAGACAATTCACGTTTGCAGTTTGAAGAACACCTGCTTGCTTCTGATGATTTCCTTT